CGCATCCGCGGTACACAAGTTTACTCGCACATAATATGTTGAAAGACAGACAAATCTTATGTTGATGTTGTTACAGGGTGGTACAGCTTCACCAGTGGCCTCCTTCCCGAGGCAATTCCCTGCTCTCCCCTGCTAGAGGGGCACCCTAAGCCATTCACCCCATCCGACTTCAGAGTGTACTCTTTGAGTTTGGCAACTCACCACCAGCATCCAACCAAATCTAGCGGATCAACGGCGCCTCAACTTAGTTCCTGGTCAGCTCGCGAGTTGATTTTATCACGTCCTACACCGTCCACAAGATGGGGGGCCACCTCCCATTTCATCACCTCTCAAACACCCCGTGTTGTAGCGCGATAGCTACACAGTAGTGATGAGCTTATTAAGAAATATGCGAATCAATTATGACTATGAAATCTTCTGAAAACTGACATGGCTGTCAAGGAATCGTTTGTCAGAATTCACCGGAACTGAACATCAAGAATCTGTACGACAGCCTTACCGAAATCCATAAATTTACTGAAATCGTCTTTGCTCACAGAACGGACGTGGGTTTGTTTAGAATTCATATTCTACTCACGTTCGGAGCGCGGTCTTATACCGTGGTCGGGGCAGTGCCGGCCTGAGACATACTTCATGGGCCTGTAGCACTGCACTACACTACAACATCTTTTGGTGTCTCAGTAGCGCATTGCTATTAATAAATTATTCTCTAAGTAGTTTGCCTAGTTTAGCGTACCAGCCGCCTCCCTGACTGAAGGGCGGCTGACCATTGACTTCTGTGGCGGTTGTTCTCCGGTCCACCTCGCACCCCCAACGAAGCCCTGCTACAAGCCTTACTTGCTGGACTTCGTCTCTCCGTTCAAGGTTGGCGGCTTTGAACACGACTTTCTGTCCTTCCCACTATGGATGCGCCAACGCTCACCGATTCAATGAATGTAGATGAAATCACAGTACCACCACCGAATCTACCGAACCCGCTGGACTCACTGAACCTATCGACTCAACCGAATACAGCGAACCTGCAGCGCACCACCGAACCAACTAGAGATGCTGGCGGCTCCGCCGGCTCTTCCCGTGGAGAACACGAACTAGTGGAGCTAAAGCTACAACTAGTTCAAGCAGAAATTGAACTCGCGAAACTAAAGAACGCTG